CCATAGACCAGAGAGCTTTCAGTATTGCCCAGGTATTTAGAAAAACAACAGCAACAATAACAACAACTGAATAAAGTACAAGAGACAATTTCCTGGGCTGGGAAGGTGGCTCAGTGGTAGAGCGCTTGCCTTGCATGCATGAGGCCCTGGGTTCGATTCCTCAGCACCACATAAGCAAAAAGAATAAAGCCGGAAGTGGCGCTGTGGCGCAAGTGGTAGAGCGCTAGCCTTGAGCTGAAGGACAGTGCCCAGGCCCAGAGTTCAGGCCCCATGACCGACAAAAATAAATAAATAATAAACAGAAAACCCTCAACCTTTGTGATCACCAAATACATTGTGAGAACACAGTTTTATGCCAAGCAGGTTCAAATCTAGCTCAATATGAAAACTGGAAGGGCTAACAAGGGCTACACAGGTATTTTGTTATAAATTTTCCAAGAACTGAAGATATTCAAGTCATGTACAATGGTACACATCTACAGCTGCAGCATTCAGGAGGCAGAGGCAGAAGATTCAGAGATTTCAGAGTTTAAGGCCAGCTCGAGCCACTCAGCAAAGTACAAATCCAGCTGTAGCTACCAAAACTCTATCTTAAAAACTGAAAGTCTTAACAAGGGCGCTGGTGGCTCACACTTGTAATCCTAGCTACTCAGGAGTTTGAGATCTGAGGATCAGACTCAAAAGCCAGCCTGTGAGACTCTTATCTCCAATTAACCACCAGAAAACTAGAAGTGGCACTGTGGCTCAAGTGGTAATATGTTCACCTTCAGCTGAAGAGCTCAGGGACAGTGCCCGGGCCCAGAGTTCAAGAGCTATGACCAACACAAAAAAAAAAAAAAAAGAAAAAGAAAAAGAACCAAATGAAAGGCTAACGATGTAAATCAATGGTAGAGAACACTTGCCTAGAATATACAAAGGCATGTGTTCAATTTCTGGCCAAAAAGAAAAGAAAAAGGAACTGTAAGGGGAGAAAGGGAAGAGGAAGGAAAATGAAGGGGGAAGTGAGATGAAGAAGGGATAAGGAAAAAGAAGAGAAGCACAGGGAAAGAAAGAAAAGGGATATGAAGGGGCTGAGAAAGTAACACAGTGGTAGAACGCTTGCCTTGCATGCATGAGGCCTTGGGTTCAATTCCTCAGCACCACATAAGCAGAAAAAAGCTGGAAGTGGTACTGTGGCTCAAGTGGTAGAGTGCTAGCCTTGAGCAGAAGAGCTGAGAGACAGAGCCCAGGCCAAGAGTTCAGGCCCCATGACCAACAACAACAAAACAAGAAAAGAAAAGGGATATGAAGCTTTCTTTACTACAGTAATATGGCTAAGAACTAATGCAGGCTGAGCATCTCTGATCTCATCGATCTGAAATCAGATATCTTAAACCATTGAACAGACATAATACAAAAAAGTTAAGATTTTGGGGCATTTCAGATTTTGGATTTTTTAATTAGGGATTTTGTTGCTTTATTATGAAAATATTCATAAATCTAAAAAACTCCATAATCTGAATGAAGTACTTTCTTATCGCAGGCATCTTGAAGAAGGGGTATATAATCTGTACATCTACAGAAAAGATGTCTTTCTTGGTGACATTTTAAAAAAGAGGACAAAAATTTCCCATGTCCCGAACAGATATAAGCATCAAAATCATAACTCTCACATTTCCTTTTAGAACCAGAGATTTAACTTCAAATATCTGGACTAATATGACTCCATACCTCCTCAGCTTCTCTCGTTCTTCTCTCTCCCTTTCTTCTCTTCTCTTCAGACGTTCCTGGTTTCTTTTTTCCTGCTTCTCAGCTACAACTCTCTTAAAAAAATAATAATAATATATGAAGCACATATTTACTGGTCCAATTCTTAATTTTTTTTTTTTTTTGGTCATGGGGCTTGAACTCTAGACCTGGACATTGTCCTGAGCTCTTCACCTCAAGGCGAGCGCTCTACCACTTGAGCCATAGCACCACTTCTGGTTTTCTGGTGGTTAACTGGAGGTAAGAGTCTCACTGACTTTCCTGCCCTGGTTGGCTTCAAACCGTGATCCTCAGATCTCAGCCTCCTGAGTAGCCAGGATAGGTGTGAGCCACCAGCACCCAACTCAATTCTTAATTATCTTAACCTAACACCTTTACTATAGTATTTGGTTTCTAATGTGCTACATTTAATCTGTTGAGTAACGGTTCAATCTGAAGTTTCGATAAGTATAATTATTAGTTTAACAAGACTGCTTTCCAGAATATTCTCCCTTCATCATGCCATCATTACTTTTCTTGATGATTTCTGAATGGCATTTCAAAACTCACTTCTATAAAACTTTCTTCTACCAAATACTATGTATTGCTGGGAAGGTGGCTCAGTGGTAGAGAGCTTGCCTTGCATGCATGAGGCCTAGGTTTGATTCCTCAGCACCACATAAACAAAAAGAAAAAAGCTGGAAGTGGTGCTGTGGCTCAAGTGGTAGACCACTAGCCTTGAGCTGAGGGACAGCGCCCAGGCCCAGAGTTCAGGCCTCATGACCAGACCCAAAAAAAAAACCAAATACTATGTATTTAAAAAAAAAAAAATCAACCCTTATAAATCACAAGTTACCATAAACTATGGTTTCTGATATAAAAATATCATTTTTCATTATCCTAACACTGCTGCCTTTAAAGATATAAGAAAACTATTGTTAGGTTTGTAATTTTAAACCAACTCTGAAGTAGTTATTATTTCTGAGTTTAACTCAGAGCTCAACAACTTCATATGCTATAATCAATGTTATTTTGACAATTTTTAGAAACTTGGCATTATGCTATTCAAAACCTTACAGTGGCTTGCTGTTAACTACAAATACATATTTGTATTTAAGTAATTCTATTTTATTTTTATGTATATGTGTTTGTTTTTTTGTTTGTTTTTTTGTCAGTCATGGGGCTTGAACTCTGGGCCTGGGTGCTGTCTCTCAGCTCTTCAGCTCAAGGCTAGCGCTCTAATACTTGAGCTACAGCGCCACTTCTGGTTTTCTGTGGTTTTACTGGCGATAAGACTCACGGACTTTCCTGCCTGGGCTGGCTTTGAACCACCTATCCTCAGATCTCAGCCTTCTGAGTAGCTAAGATTACAGGCATGAGCCACCAGGGCCCAGCTGTATGTTTTCTTAAAGCACAGTTTTCTTTGGCAAGCAAAGAAGGCCTTGACCTCACAATTCTCATGCATCAATCTCCTGAGGACTGGGACTACTGGTATGTACCACTAGGTTCCAGGTTGATTTATTTATTTTATTGGTCAGTAGTGGAGCTAGAATTCAGGGCTGGGCATTGTCCTTGAAATATTTTGCTCAAGGATAGCTCTCTACCACTTTCAGCCACAGCACTACTTCCAATTTTCTGGTGTTAATTAGATAAGAGTCTCATGGACTTTTCGGTCCAGGCTAGTTTGGAACATGATCCTCAGCGCTCAGTTTCCTCAGTAGCTAGGATTACAGGCTTGATCCACCAGCACCCAGCTCCAGCTTGTTTTAAATGTCACCAGATTATTTTAAATGACAAAATATGGATCTTGGTTTTAATTCCTGTAACAAACTGTGTAGATATTGACTATCAGGACTCTAAATCTTTAGCCAGTTTTCTATCAGTGCTACAATTATAGCAAATTGATAAAACCTCCTGATTCTTGCCTTGTGTGTGTGTGCATGCGCACGCATGCATGCACGCATGTGCAGGTGATGGGCACACACTTTTTATCCCCTCAATAGAACTAGAAAAATGAACAGAACTGTATTACCTTTCTTCAAAAGCATATGCTTAATAATAATTGTCCTTTTCTAAGTACCATTCTAGGGGCTGGGAATGTGGCTCAGTGGTAGAGCGCTTGCCTTGCATGCCTGAGGCCCTGGGTTCAATTCCTCAGCACTACATAAGCAAAAAACCAGAAGTGGCGCTGTGGCTCAAGTGGTAGAGCACTAGCCTTGAGCTGAAGAGCTGAAGGACAGCGCCCAGGCCCAGAGTTCAGGCCCCAGAACCAGACCCGGGAAAAAAAAAAAAAAAAAGCTAAGTACCATTCTAAGTCCTTTCTAGAATGAAACATAAAACTACAGGTTGTACAAGCTTGCTGTTTAGTGAAGAATTGTAAAGTATTTCAAATAAATATCAGGTTCAATCTCTCTGTATTAGTATTTTTATTGACTTTATTGAAAAGAAAGATAACAATGTACATTTTAGGTGATTTTATAAAGTTAGGTGGCTGTGGTTCATGCTGTAATCCTAGCTACTCAGTAGGCCGAGATCTGAGGATCAAAGTTAGAAAAAGACAGCCCAGGCAGAAAAGTCCATGAGACTCTTCTCTCCACTGAACTAGCAAAAAGCTGAAAGCAGAGGTATGGCTCAAGTAGCAGAGAACAGCCTTGAGAGAAAGGGCCACACAATAGCATAAGGCCCTGAGTTCAAACAACATTACTGACATATACCTTTCCCATCCCTACCACAAAGGACTAGTTTAGACATGAACTGAAATAATTTCTATTAGTTCTGAATACAACCCAAAAGGCTCCATCTCAGAATAGAACAGTATTGAAAAAGGCTGCTTCTTGGACACCTTCCATTAAAACAACTCTGATCTCTATTTAGTCCCACACGGGGCTGGGAAGGTGACTCAGTGGTAGGTAGAGTGCTTGCGTTGCCTGCCTGAGGCCCTGGGTTCGATTCCCCAGCACCATATAAGCAAAAAGAAAAAAGCCAGAAGTGGCGCTGTGGCTCAAGTGGTAGAGCGCTAGCCTTGAGCTGAAGAGCTGAGGGACAGCGCCCTGGCCAAGAGTTCAAAGACCAAGACTGGACCCAAAAAAAAAAAGTCTATTTAGTCCCACATGATTCAGTCAGAGTTGAACTAAATGTAATGGTCAAAACACTATTCAAAAAGACTATATATACATGTATATATGCTAAATAGAAAACAGTGAGGGATATTAATTTACCAATATACCTTTAATTCTTCAAGCTTCTCTCTTATTTCAATGAATCCCAGGTGCAGTTTTCCCCCAAAATGATCAGCCAGTCGTCTGTCATTATCATGAAGACCTAAATAGGCAGAGCAGACTTCACAGACTCTAAGTTTCTGTTGTTGGAAGCTAGAAGCTGGCATAGAATTCCGATAAACTTCCTAAGCAAACAAAAAAAACAATAATTATGCAAACTTCATTAAAAGTCACAGGCTTACACCATGACTATTTTGTCATGAAAATTATAGGTTCCCTTTATCTCCATATTCTGTGAGGAGAGGGCTGGAGGTGTTGCTCAGTCAGTGTCTTCCTAACTTATAAAAGTCCCTGAGTCTGATTTCCAAACAGTAAAGGAAAAAAAGTGATGACAAACATTATTTATAGTCAATACTAAGATACTTGTTTATCAATTACAAAACAATAGACACTGTAACAGAACAAAAATAGGCACATCATCAGAAGGAACAAACCACTAAGATGTATCTCTTCATAGGATCTAGTACTACAACAGTATACCTATCAAGATGCTAACCGAGGGCTTTTGTGTATCTCAGTGGAACAGGACTTGTGCTTAACATACGCAATTCTTACTCCTCCTCAACTCTGCACCCATGGAAAAAAACTAGAAAAGCAGAAAACGAAGAATGCTTTACAAAGCAATTGGCCAACACTGCCTATGTGAAGCACGCACTCCCAGTACTAGGGAAGTGAGGCAGGAGAGTTCCAATCAGTGTTGGATACATAGTGAGACTGTGTTTAAAAAAGAGATAGGCAGGGTGCTGGTGTCTAATGCTTTATATGCAGGAGGCTGAGATCTCAGGATCTACAAGTAACCAACAAAAAGCTAGAAGGGGAGCTGTAGGAAGAGTGCCAGCCTTAAGCAAAACAAAGCTCAGGGACAGTATCCAGATACTGAGCTCAAGTCCCAGTCTCTCTCCCTCTCCAAAAAGATTGACTAAGAAACCTATAAAAATTGCTCAGGCCAGGTGCCGGTAGCTCACGCCTGTAATGCTAGCTACTCAGAAGGCTGAGATCTGAGGATCATGGTTCAAAGTCAGCCCAGGCAGGAAAGACCGTGAGACTCTTATCTCCAATAAACCACTCAGAAAACCAGAAGTGGTGCTGTGGCTCAAGTGGTAGAGCGCTAGCCTTGAGCTGAGGGGCTGAGGGACAGCAGCACCCAGGCCCCAGGAACGACCCCCCCAAAAAAATTGCTTAGTAATAAGCATAGGCCTGGGGGCTGGGAAAGTGGCTCAGTGGTAGAGCGCTTGCCTTGCATGCCAGAGACCCTGGGTTCAATTCCTCAGCACCACATAAGCAAAAAGAAAAAAGCCGGAAGTGGTGCTGTGGCTCAAGTGGTAGAGTGCTAGCCTGAGCTGAACAGCTGAGGGACAGCGCCCAAGGCCAGAGTTCAAGCCCCATGACCGGACCCAAACAAACAAACAAACAAACATAGGCCTGTAATTCCAGCTACTAGAGATGTGAAGCCAGGATTATAGTTTGAGGCCAACTGAGGTAAAAATTATCAAAATCCTCATTCAAAACTAAGGCAGACAGGAAACAGTCATCCCTTGCTATATCGTGGCTCATTCACTGTAGCTTCATTCTATCCCAGGTTTTTAAAAAATTAGGTAAATAATGATCCCTCACCTATTGTGGGAGTTAAGTTCCAGAGATCTCTGAGATAGGTGAAAATCCACAAAGCAGCAGTGTTATATGGTCATCCCTCACTCTTATCATAGGTCACTTGCTACTTTGGGGATTTTCACCTATCACAGGGGTCTCTGGAACGGAACTCCTACAATAGATGAGAGATGACTGTAGTACATGCTGATGATCAAGAAACACATTAGGAAGACTAAGGAAGACCAAAGAGGACTAAGATTGGAGGCTGGTCTGGACAAAGCTCAAGACCCTACTTGAAAATTTAAAAACAAAAGGACACATGGTGTGGCTCAAGTGATAAAGGACTTACCTAACAAATCTAAGGCCCAGTACAACAACCCACCTCTCTACACATAAAAGAATATCAGAGTCAAGTCAGATGGCTTACTTAAATAGGACAACTGATCTTGGATTATCTTTTTCATAAAGAGTATTATTGGGACAACTAATGATACCTGAATTAATGGATTTTTTACTCAATGCTAGTGCTCTACCACTTGAGCCACAGCTCTACTTCTGGCTTTTTGGTGGTTGAGATCAGAATCTCACAGCCTTTTCTACCTGTGCTATCTCTGAACCAAGATTCCAGATTTCAGCCTCCTGAGTATAAGATTACAGGTCTGAGCCACTGGCAGCTTATCATCCTATTACTTTTAGTCCTGTATCTTTAAAGTAGGTTTCTTATAGACAGTACATAGCTAAGTTGGGCAACACGAGTGGCTCAGTGGTGTTACAACAAAAATCTACTCTGCCACTTAATTGTAAGGTTTAGACCATTTACATTTAGTAAAATGATACATTGGGATTGTATTTACCACCTATTTGTTCTGCATGTTTGTCCTTTAGGTACTAGTTTACTTTTCTTCTAGTTTCTTTTAGACTAAAACTTGTTGTCAGTCAAAGAGCTTGAACTCAGAGCTTGGGTACTATCCCTGTGCTTTTTCACTAAAGGCTACTACTGCTCTACCAACTTTGAGCCATAGCACCACTTCTGGTTTTCTGGTGGTAGACACTAAGAGTCTCACACGGACTTTTCTGACCAGTCTGGTTTTCTTTTTTTTTTTGGTCGGTTGTAAGGCTTCAACTCTGGGCTTGGGTGCTGTCCCTCAGCTTTTCAGCTCAAAGCGAATGTTCCACTGCTTGAGCCACAGCGCCACTTCTGGTTTTCTAGTGGTTTTTATTGGAGATAAGAGTCTCATGGACTATCCTGTGGGAGCTGGCTTTGAACCGTGATCCTCAGATCTCAGCCTCCTGAGTAGCTAGGATTACAGGCGTGAGCCACCGGCACCCGGCTTCTTTTTTTATTGTCAGTTATGCAGCTTAAACTCTGGGCCTGGTCGCTGTCCCTCAGCTCTTCAGCTCAAGTTGAGCGCTCTACCACTTGAGTCACAGCGCCACTTCCAGTTTTCTGGTGTTTTATTGGACATTGAGTCTCTCAGCCTTTCCTGCCTGGGTTTGGAACTGTAATCCTCGGATCTCAGCCTCCTGAGTAGCTAGGATTACAGGTGTGAGCCACCAGCACCCAGATACCAATCTGGTTTTCAATAGTGATCCACAAATACCAGCCTCCTAACTAGCTAGGATTACAGGCGTGAGCCATTGGCACCCAGCAAATAAAACCTTATTAGAATTAATTACTTCCAACAGAATTAACTCCTGTTTTCTTGTGAAGTTATAAATTTCAGTATGTCAATGACTCCAAATTCCCCAAAACTACTAAATTAACTTTTCTAACTTTTCGACAATTTCAGTCAAATAAATATATATTCTAGAAGACATAGTACAGTCAATAAGGTTGTAATGTGGTTTTATTTTATTTTATTTTGTCGGTCGTGGGGCTTGAACTCTGGGCCTGGGCGCTGTCCCTCAGCTCTTCAGCTCAAGGCCAGCGCTCTACCACTTGAGCTACAGCGCCACTTCCGGTTTTCTGGTGGTTTATTGGAGATAAGAGTCTAACGGTCTTTCCTGCCCGGGCTGGCTTTGAACCGCGATCCTCAGATCTTAGCCTCCTGAGTAGCTAGGATTACAGGCGTGAGCCATCAGTGCCCGGCTGTAGTGTGGTTTTAAAAACATACCTCTGCTTCTCTTTTCTTTGCCCGTGCTTTCTCTACCTCATCCATTACTTTCTGCGATTCTTCCACATTCCCTTCAGCTCCTAGTTGTTCTACTTTGGCTAGCAATTTACCAATTTCTTCATTTAACTCATGAACACGTTCTGCCTAGAAAGAAAAGAGAAAAGACCATGAATAAACAGGATGAATATGTAGGCCAGTATCCGTGTAAATAATGCTTTCTGAGCATATCTAATGAAAAACAAGGTGCTTGGAGTCCTGCCGTCATCCAAATGAGAACAAGAACACTTAGCAATCTCAATGTTATTTCTTCTTTCTGATCTCTACTTAGGCAATATATTTTAAGTATAAAATAACTTTTATGCCATGAATTGGCCTTCTGTGTGCCTTCCCAAATGACCTCATAACAAAATTTTTATTATAGTTTTACAGATCTACTTTATTGCTTTGTGTGTGTGTATGTGTGTTGAGCGCATGGCCTGGGCACTGTCCTAAATTCTTTTGATCAAAGCCTAGTGCTCTATCACTTGAGCCACAGCTCCACTTCTGGCTTTTGGACGGTTAACTGGAGATTAAGGATCTCACAGGCTTTGCTACCTGGGCTAGCTTTGAACTATAATCTCAGCCTCCTGAGCAACTAGTTAAGGAGAGGGGGCTGGGAAGGTTGACTAAGTGGTAGAGTGCTTGCCTAGCATGCATGAAGCCCTGAGTTTGATTCCTCAGCTCAAGTGGTAGAGGTGCTAGCCTTGAGCAAAAGAAGCTCAAGGACAGTGCCCAAGCCCTGAGCTCAAGCCCCACGACTTAAAAAAAAAAAGCTAAAGGAGGTCTGCTGTGTGTCCAATTATGTTAGTAAAGATTTTCATTTAATACTGACATCCAATCCTAGCAAAGTAGAGTGCCAATAATCTTGCTTTCAATCTAACATATTCCTTTTCTAGAAGTAGAGTCCCAGTTCTATTATATCTCCCTTAAAAAAAAAAGTCAAAGTAGTATTTTCCTGAATATGTCTGCAACTGTAGCAAATGATTCTACCAATACCCAAAGATCTTCACCCTTTCCTGTATCAGCTAATGGGATGGTACCAAATATGGGCCACAAAAAGACTTGAAAAGCACTCTGTGACAGAGTGTGACGCTTCTGTAGCTCTGCAATCCTCCTAAGAGAACAAGGCAAAGCTAGCCTTCCAGAATGTCTAAGTCACCAACAGTTAACTGTATTAGATGTGACATACACAGATGGCACAGGAATATTTGTTCAACCAACTCACTTTAATCATCATCATAGACTAAATAAATACTGAGTCACTGAGTCTTCAGGTAGTTTGTTATACAGTTATTCTGAACCAATGGATAACAATTACAATGCTGTACAACCTACAGTCAAAGCACTTGTGGGTCTCTTGTAAGATACTAGATTCCTTGTATTTCAGGATGCCAGTCTTAAAGACTCTCCATTTTCACAGAACTTTTTGGAAAAGGTTAGTGAAAAAAGTATCCCTTTTCTCAAAAAAAAAAAGAAATCTATTTCTCTTTATACAAACACATCTTTTTTCATTATCACATGTTAATTGTACAAGAGGGGGTTTTGCTGTGACATTTACACTCATGTAATCAATATCAGTCTCCCTCACCCTACACATTGTTTGCAAATGATTTCATAAAGGATTCACTGTCCTGTTTTCCAACATGCAAAATACTTCAACCACATTTATCCTAACTCATTCTCTTTTATTAGTCCTTTTTAAATACTTACCTTAATGCCATATTTTAATGCAATTATCTGAATGCTAGCCTTGAGCTGAAGAGTTGAGGGACAGCCCCCAGGTCCAGAGTTCAAGCCTACGGACGACCCCCCCCCCAAAAAAAGGACCACAAAACATTTCTGGAAAGTAGCTAGTAAAAAAAAAAAATCTTCAAAACTTAAAACCAAAATAAAATTGCAGTACACAACTTGCAAAACAAATAAAACTAATATGGTGATACTATCCAATGCTGGTAAATATGGAGAAATGAATCACTTACATACTACTCAAAATAGATGTAAAATGAAAACCACTCTAGAAAAAATTATCAATTGCTTTGAAAACCCAAACTGGATTTTATGTATCTAGCAATTCCATTGTCAGGCATTTATGCTAGAGAAATAAAGCAGGAAGTAGTGCTGTGGCTCAAGTGGTAGAGTACTAGCCTTGAGCACAGAGAGGCTCAAGGACAGAGCCCAGGCCCTGAGCTGAAGCCCCAGGACCAGCAAAAAAAAAAGAAAAAAGAAAAAATTGTACATAAATGGTTTGTGCAGCTTTGTTAGTATTAGCCAGTATGCCCAATGTCCTTCAAAGTATAAACTTTGAAGGTTAACCTATGGTATAGCATATCTATACTATGGAACACTTAGGAAACATGTATCAACTCCAAAAATTTGTAGCCAGTTAAAAAGCCAATCTGTAATACAGAATACAGACCCAACTTACCTAATATTTATAAAATAATTAGAGAATGAACAATAATGGTTGCCATAGGGCTAGGGATAAGGGCTATGCATGTTACTATAGAGGACACACACAAGGGAGGAATCTTGTGGTAACACTAAAGTATCAATTTGGTGGTAGTTACATACAAATTTATAAATTGCACATACTATACAAACAATTCCATGTGTAACTGGTGAATTCTGAATAAAATACAAGTATTAGATCAATGTTAATTTCTTTGAAACTTACTACAGTTGGGTAAAATAATGTCATTAGAGAAAAATAAGGAATTTCCTTTATATGTCTTTGCAATCTCCTACACATCTAATGATTCAAAAAAAAAAAAAAACTAACAAAGGCAGTTGAAGCTACACTTTACACTAAAGGAATTACTAAAATTCTTACTTTTGCTGCCACTTCAGCACTAATTTCTTCTTGGGTTTCTGCTAATCTCTTCTTAGCCACTTCTGTTCTTCGATCACAATCTGAAATGAATGACTGCAGATGATCCATGGCCTATGAAGTTTAATTAAAAAAAAAATTACTGCTAGAAAGTGACCTTTTTAAAAAACTGTACTTTGAAAAAAATAAAAACTCAAAACCACTACTTTGGGACCAGAGATATAACCCAGTAGCTGAGTACTTGCCTCACATATGGAAAGCCCTTAATTCAATTCTTAGTACTACAAACAAACAAACAAACAAACAAAAAACTATTGTACTTTTGTTTTTTAAAATGCAACTACAGAAGTAGGTAGAGAGGGTTCACTCATAAATATGAAAGAATATATATCTACTACCAAATTTTAAAAGACTAAATATAAATAATTCCAAGAAAGGTTTAGTATATAAGGAAACTGTTCCTTTCATACTTTGCTTAAGAAAACAGAAAGTAATACCACTTTTATAAAAATATAATATATAGCTAGGTGCTGGTGACTTAGGCCTGTAATCAGGATCACTGTTTGAAGCCAGCATCTCCAATTAACTACTCAAAAACTGGAAGTGTCACTGTAGCTTAAGTGGTAGAGTACTAGCCTTGAGCACCAAGAGGCTCAAGGACAGCGCCCAGACCCTGAGTTCAAGCCCCACAACCAGTAAAAAAAAAAAAAAAAAATACAATCACACACATATTAGCCAGGCTAGGTGGAACATATTTCTAATCCTAGCATTCAGGAAGCTGAGAAAAGGGATTGTGAGCTTAAGAACAGCAGTCTACATAGTGAGGTGGAAACAAAACTAAAGACTAAACTGTCTCAGACTCAGTAGTATTTCTTCTAGGAATGTGTCTTGAGAAGCTAGAAGCTAGTGACTTCTGCCTGTAATCCTAGCTACACAGAAGGCTAAAATCTGGAGATCACACTTCAAAGCCAGCCAGAAAAGTCCACACGACTCTTATCTCCAATTAACCACCAAAAAGCCAGAAGTAGACCTGTGGCTCAAGCAGCAAAGCACTAGCTTTGAGCAAAAAGAGCTCAGAAACAGCACTCAAACCCTGAGGACAAACCCCAGTAGTACTGGTATATTGGGGAGGAAGGGGGGGCGGGAAGAGTTTCTTTTTTTTTTTTTTTGCCAGTCCTAGGGCTGGAAAAGAACCTTTGCAGAAATTTTAGCAGTCTAGAGTAGAAAAAATCCAGCTCACTACTTAAAAAAAAAAAGGCACTTGTCAAGCATATGTACTAGCTGTATAATAATACTTAGACAAAAGCTTTAAAAAACAAATGTAGAACAAAAATATAAATGTATATTCAGAGCATGCTCAATTCCAAATATGGGAGCCAAGCCAGGCGCTGGTGGCTCACGCCTGTAATCCTAGCTACTCAGGAGGCTGACATCTGAGGATTGCAGTTCAAAGCCAGCCCAGGCAGGAAAATCTGTGAGACTTATCTCCAATAAACCATCAGAAAACCGGAAGTGGCACTGTAGCTCAAGTGGTAGAGCGCTCGCCTTGAGCTGAAGAGCTGAGGGACAGCGCCCAGGCCCAGAGTTCAAGCCCCACAACCGACAAAAAAGAAAAGAAAAGAAAAGATTGTCAACTCAAAAATAGTGTTGAGTCCAAAAAGTAGCTAATATTGGGCTGGGAAGGTGGCTCAGTGGTAGAGCACTTGCCTTGCATGCCTGAGGCCCTCAGCACCACATAAGCAAAAAGAAAAAAGCCGGAAGTGGCGCTGTGGCTCAAGTGGTAGAGTGCTAGCCTTGAGCTGAAGAGCTTAGGGACAGCACCCAGGCCCTGAGTTCAGGCCCCACGACCGGACACACACACACACACAAAAAAAAAAGTAGCTAATATTTATGGGCTGGATGGAAGCTAGAACACTACTTCAATTCCTAATAAGTCCAAGATGTATCAAAGATTTAAGTGTATAAAACAGAAAAAAAAGGAAAAAAATGAGAGAACTCTTACCTCAGAATAGAAAATGTCTTTTATCAAATTAACACAACATAAATAGAAAAACACTTGGCTAGGCCAAAACCAAGCGAAAGAAAAATGAAATAGGAAAAAATACATATTGAAACTCTCTCCTGGGCTGGGAAGGTGGCTCAGTGGTATAGTGCTTGCCTTGCATGCCTGAGTCCCTGGGTTGGATTCCTCAAGCACCACATAAGCAAAAAGAAAAAAGCTGGAAGTGGTGCTGTGGCTCAAGTGATAGAGTGCTAGCCTTGAGCTGAAGAGCTGAGGGACAGTGTCCAGGGCGCAGAGTACAGGCTCCATGACCGGACCCAAAAAAAAAGGAAAGAAAGAAACTCTCTCCTAAGAGAACTACAGTATAAAAAGAAAAAGTACACTTAATGTGGAGCACCAGTACCTCACACCTACAATCCTAATTACTCAGGAGGCTTAGATCTGATGATCACAATTCAAAGCCAGCCTGGGCAAGAAAGTCTGTGAGAGGCATCTCCAATTAACCACCAAAATTCCGGAAGTGGAGCTTGAGGCACAAGTGGTAGAGCACTAGCCAGGACTGGCACACACACACAAAAAAGAACCTACATTTACATTTTACTTTTACCTATCAAATTCAGCTAAAGAAATCTTAACATGCTGGGTTCTAGTGGCTCATGCCTGTAATCCTAGCTACTCAGAGGCATTCAAGCCAGCATGGGTAAGAAAGTCCATGAGATTCTTACTTCCAATTAACCACCAGAAAACCGGAAGTGGCACTGTGGCTCCAAGAAGTAGAGCACTAGCCTTGGGGAAAAAAAGCTCAGGAACAGCACCCAAGCATTTCAAGCCTGCCCTCCCCTTTTTAGATAGTCTACTATATATAGTAGGGTTTACATTAAGAACAGTCCTCAATTCCTCCCATATGTATAGATCTATATATAGAAAGTGAATATGAATCTTAAACTTAACTAGATTACCTTAAAAAAAGAAAAAAAGAAAAAAGAAAAGAGACCTGGGCTGGGAATGTGGCTTAATGGTAGATCACTTGCCTATCAAGTTCAAAAGCCCTGAGTTCAATTCCTCAGTATCACATAAACAGAAAAAGCCAAAAGCAGCACTGTGACTCAAGTGGTAGAGTCCTAGCCTGGAGCAAAAGAAGCTCAGGGAGCTGAGTACCTGTGGCTCATGCCTGTAATCCTAGTTACTCAGGAGGCTGAGATCTGTGGATCGTGGTTCAAAGCCAGCCCAGGCAGGAATGTCAAAGAGACTCTTTATCTCCAATTAACCACCAGAAAACCCACAGTGGCACTGTGGCTCAAGTGGTAGAGTGCTAGCCGAATAGCTCAGGGACAGTGCCCAGGCCCAGAGTTCAAGACCCATGACTGGCAAAAAAAAAAAAGAAAAGCAGCAACAGCAGCAGCTCAGGGATAGTGCCCAGACCCTGAATTTAAGCCTCAGGAGTAGCTAAAAAAAAAAAGCTGGGGATGTGGTTCAGTGCTTGCCTAGAATGCATGAGCTCTGGGTTCAATTGCTCAATAGCACACACACACAGAAAAGGCCAGAAGTGGCACTGTGGCTCAAATGGTAGAGTACTAGCCTTGAGCAAAAGGTCAGGGACAGTGCTCAGGCCCTGAGTTCAAGCCCTAAGACTGACAAAACAAAACCAAAAAAAAGCCTAATAACATACATTATTTTTGCTTAATTGGAAAAATTAGGCTTAATTTTTCAAAACAATTAAAGAATTCTTAATTTTCACATTTTCCTAAAATATGCAGTATTGTCTTCTATTTCAAAAGTATTGTCAACTATGCAAATATCATCAGCAGGGTAATTTTTTAAGTGTGTTTCTTATAAGGATTAAAAACTCAGTATTAAACATGCTTTACTGAAAAAGACAACATAGTTCATTAAATAAAATCACCTACATCAAGTTCAAAGAAAAAATCCTGTTCTTTGGATGCAATTTCATAATCTGCTCTTAAAGCCAGGTCATGGACTTTCAGACATTCTCCAAGATCCATTCTCTGGGGAGGAAAAAAACATATTGACAACATTATTTCAAAAGTTCACTGACAACCACAGTTCTCTTTAAGAATACCCATATTCATAACACACTTCTGCATTTGCTTATTTTCATAGCAAAATGAACAAACAATTGTAAAACATGGGGTCCCCTGGGCTTTGATGAAGCATACCTGTAATTCTACTCAGGAGGCTAAGATCTGATGATCACAGTTCAAAGCTAGCCCAGGCAGGAAAATCTGTAAGCCACTTTTTGTTGGTGGTGGTGGTAGTTGTGGGGCTTGAATTCAGGCCCGAGGCACACTCAAGGCTAGCAGTCTACCACTTTGAGCCACAGCTCCATTTCTGGTTTTCTAGATGTTTAATGGGAGATAAGAGTCTCATGGGCTCTCCTGTCCAGTCTGGCTTTAAACCTTGATCCTCAGATATCAGCCTCCTGAGGAGCTAGGACAGGTGTGAGCCATTATCATCCAGCCAGAAAATTGGAAGTGGAGAGGAACTGTAGTTTAGATTAAGTGGTAGAGGGCTAGCCTTGAGCAAAAGAGCTGAACAGTTCAAGCCCCACAACAACAACAAAAAATAACCACCTTGGTGTCCAAAAAAATGGCACACTTGTTAACCAAAAATGAAAATTAATAATCACTTTTGGACTCAAGAACACATGGACAAGGAACAGCCTTACAGAAACTGAAAAGGCTTTTTAACTTCTATATTTGACTTAGCTCCACATACAAAGAGATGAAAGTTTTTTTAAAACCAAACTAAAACATTTTGAATATCTAATATACATTACGTAAAATTTAAACTACCTAACTTGAGGGTAACATTGGTCAAGATGTGCTATACTCATAACCTTATTTATGGAATTCTAACCTTTGTACAACTACTTCATAATTTTAAAAAAACACTAAACTTCATCATGGTTTTGAAGTTCACAAAAAACAGATAACCTCAATAAAGACATCAGGAAAAACTCCTTATATCTAGCATAAATTCACTAAAAAAACCCTGTAAAATGAAATAAAATGTGTGCTGAGCATAAATGTATCTCTGTAAAGTTTAGCACTTGAGCTTGAGAAAGAACGACTGCAAGTTTAAATCCATTCTAGACTATATAGCAAAATCCTGCCTCAAAACAAAACAAAACATACAAACAAAAAGCTTGCTGAATCTGGAACTCTTCTGCTCGCAATTTCCCAATAATTATAAATTTACCTAGAGGTTTTCCTCATGAGACAAAAATCCCTAAAATCTTACTTTTGTGTGTGTGGGCAACTGACAAGGCCTACTATGAAATCCTTTTGGGGGAAAAATGGACAAAGTTAACTATATATTAAAGGGTGATCAAAACAAGGGATATGCCAATTGAAGGTATGCAATCCTCATTCCAGAATGTCTCTGTGGAAATCTAGTGAACAAGAGTATAATTCAAGACATCATAGTAAACATCCCTCTCATTTCAGTTACATGAGATACATAAAAGTTCAACACAACAGCGATAATAGTAAAGTCATTCAAATATCTTACTTAGAGATACAGACACAAACAGGCTCTAATTTTATGAAGCTGTATTCTAGAAGAAAAACAAAAAACATGAAGCCTATGATCAAAGTTAGAATGTCTAAGAAGTAGTAATAATTTAAATTACTGGGCTGGGAAGGTGGCTCAGTGGTAGAGCGCTTGCCTTGCATGCTCAAGGCCCTGGGTTCGGTTCCTCAGCACCACATAAGAAAAAAGAAAAAAGCCGGAAGTGGTGCTGTGGCTCAAGTGGTAGAGCGCTAGCCTTGAGCTGAAGAGCTGAGGGACAGTGCCCAGGCCCAGAGTTCAGGCCCCACGACCGGACCCAAAAAAAAAAAATAATTTAAATTACTTTAGGAAGCTACCTGGGATAAGGTAGTCAAAAAAGACTGTTTTCAAGAGGGTGCATTTAAATTGTACGTCCTAAAAAAGAGACAAAATGGCTTATGGCTGTATTCCAGCTATTTGGTAAGTGAAGATCAGAAAGATGATCATGGTTCAAGGCCAGTCTGGGAAAAAAAACTTGAGACCCTGAGAAATAGCTAAAGTAAAAAAAGGGCTTACGGTTTGGCTCAAGACAGTGACCCGAAGTTCAAACCCAGTAACACAAATGGTTGGGAGGAAGGGAAGATCAGCATGGGATATAATGGTGAAAACCAATAGTAATAGCACTTAAGGAGGCTGAAGCAGTAAAATCTCAAGCTGAAAGCCAGCCACGGCAACAGAGCAAGAGCCACAACAGAAACTCACTAAAAATTTCGAAAAATAGGAAAAGGTTAATTTGACCAGAAGTATATTATACACATATGGAAATACCACAACAAAACCTCTCATAAAATTAATTTAAACAAAAACAAGAAAGCAAGCACGTAAAGTGCTTAGGGCTCTGAGTTCTATCTCCAGAACTGGAAAGAAAGGAAACAAACTAAAGTGCCAGCTACTCAGGAGGCAGAAATTGGGAAGATTGCATTTCTAGGTCAGTCAAGGTAAAGTTAGTGAGACTTTATCTCAATCAGTAACTTGAGTGGGCTGGAGTATACCTGTGACCCCAATCAAGAAGGAAGAATCATGGTCAAAAGACAGCTCCAGACAAAAAACTTGAGATCCTACCTGAAAAACAACTAAAGCAGAAGAGCTTAAAGAAGACAGAGCTTAAATGGCAGAATACTGCCTAGTAAACTCTAAGACCTTGGTTCAAACCACAGTATAGGGGTTGTGGAAGAGAGAAAGCCAGGCACTAGTGGCTCACACCTGTAATCCTACGTACTAGAAGGCTGAGATTCTGAGGCTCTAGGTTCAAAGCCAACAGCAACAGACAAAACTGAGGAACATTATCTCCAACTAATCAGAAAAAAAAAGACAAAACTAAAGGTCTGGTCGAGTCAGATGCTATGAACAAAAAGCCCCAGTATTGACACAATGCAAAAATGACCAGAGCAAACAGGTCTAGAGGTATGGCTTAAGCAGTAGCGGGCTTAATTAAGCCTGCCCAGCAACTGCAAAACCCTAAGTTCAAACCCTAGTAAAAAAAAATAAAATAAAAATTTAATTACAAAAAGAAAAAAAAAATAACAAGAGCCAGACGCCAGTAGCTCATGCTTGTAATCCTAGCTACTCAGGAGGCTGAGATCTGAGGATCGAGGTTCAAAGCCAGCTCCAAAGCCAGCCCAGACAGAAAGGAAAGTTCTTGAGACTCTTATTTCTAATTAACCACCAGAAAACCAGAAGTGACACTCTGACTCAAGTGGTAGAGCACTTGCCTTGAGCTGAAGAGCTCAGGGACAGGGTCCAGGGCCCAGAGTTCAAGCCCCACGACCAAAAAAAAAAAAAAAAAAGCCAGGTATGTTGACTCAAGTCTGCAATCATAGGAGCATAGAGAGTTGTAGGCCAGGGCTGGGAAGTTGGCTCAGTGGCTTGCCTTGCATACCTGAGGCCCTGGGTTCAATTCCTCAGCACCACATAAACAAAAAGAAAAAAGCCGGAAGTGGCGCTGTGGCTCAAGTGGTAGAGCACTAGCCTTGAGCTGAAGGGCTGAGGGACAGTGCTCAGGCCCAGAGTTCAGGCCCCACAACCGGACCAAAAAAAAAAAGAGAGAGTTGTATGCCAATCTTACAGCTTTAACTCACAGGATGACTCTCTTAAAAAGTTGGGGCGGGGGGGGGTAGCTTCCTATTAAGCAACATATATTAATAATTAAGAAAAAACAGGCACCAGTGACTCATGCCTGTAATCCTAGCTACACAAGAGGCTAAGATCTGAGGACAGAGGTTCAAAGCCAGCCCAGGCAGAAAAATTCATGAGACTCTGTTATCTCCAATTAATCACCAAAAAGCTGGAAATTAAGATGTGGCTTAAGTAGTAGAGTGCTATCCTTGAGCACAAAAAGCTCAGGGACAATCCCCAGGCCCTGAGTTCAAACACCAGTACCAGCACACACACACATACACACATGTGCGCAAATATGTACATGCATGTATACACACACACACACACACACACACACACACAAAGCTGAGAAGAAAAATCTTAAAATTCACTAAAAAACAAGCTAGGAATGACAAAGTCAGTAGTTGTCATTTGTTTCTTAATTTCTTAACATTAATCCCTGCAGTAATATCCTTTATAATTGAAATACACACCTTTCAGCCCTGGCTTTAATTCTTTGTCTATTTAAAGCTATAGCTTTAAAGAAGATAGTTTTTATGGGTTGAAGTGCTGTCTTCCACATAATTAATCTTTTGGTGCCCTTTACCATGCCTCTTATTTGGCATACAGGGGACAAGGAGCCAGACTTGACATAGGAACTCCTGGATCTGTGATCTAAAACTCCAATTCATAACATCTAAAACTCCAATTCCATAGCATCTAAAACAATTACCTGTATAACAGCATTCAATGCTGCCTTTTGTCAGTTTCCCCCCTTATTCTTATCCCCTAACCAGTTTAATAATCTATTCTCAAGAAAAAAAAATTTTTTTTTTGGAGGGGGTCTGGTCGTAGGGTCTGAACTCTGGACCTGGGTGCTGTCCCTCAGCTCTTCAGCTCAAGGCTAGCGCTCTACCACTTGAACCACAGCACCACTTCCGGCTTTTTTCTTTTTGCTTATGTGGTGCTGAGGAATCAAACCCAGGGCCTCAGGCACAAGGCAAGTGCTCTACCACTGAGCCACCTTCCCAGCCCTCAAGAAAAATTTATTTATTTTTTTTTTTGGGGGGGGGTCCAGTCGTGGGGCCTGAACTCTGGGCCTGGGTGCTGTCCCTCAGCTCTTCAGCTCAAGGCTAGCACTCTACCACTTGAGCCATAGTGCCACTTCCGGCTTTTTTCATTTTGCTTATATGGTGCTGAGGAATCGAACCCAGGGCCTCAGGCATGCACGGCAAGCGCTCTACCACTGAGCCAACTTCCCAGCCCATCATGTAAGACTTTTGTTTTTGGTCGGTCATGGGGCTTGAACTCAGGGCCTGCACGCTGTCTGTCCCTCAGC